TTTAGTAGAGACGGGGTTTCACCATGCTGACCAGGATGGTCTCGATCTCTTGACCTCGTGATCCACCCGCCTCGGCCTCCCAAAGTGCTGGGATTACAGGCTTGAGCCACCGCGCCCGGCCCCAAATCTGTTTTCTTATCTGTAAGATGTGCATGCTAAAACAGGTTTGAAACAGGGATGAAAAACAATCATATTCTTAGTATAGTGTATGGCACATAGTAAATGCTCAATAAACAGTATCCATTCTGAATGAAAGTGCCGGCCGGATGGGGTGGCTCATGCCTGTAATCCCAGCACTTTGGGAGGACGAGGCCGCAGATCCTGAGATCAGGAGATCGAGACCATCCTGTAGAGCATGGTGAAACACCATCTCTACTAAAATACAAAAAACTAGCTGGGCTTGGTGGCGTGCACCTGTAGTCCCAGCTACCTGGGAGGCTGAGTCAAGGGAATTGCTAGAACCCAGGAGGTGGAGGTTGCAATGAGCTGAGATCACACCACTGCACTCCAGCCTGGTGACAGAGTAAGTCTCCATCTCAAAAAAAAAAAAAAAATGTGCCATACGTTATTGCCATTGTCAATAATAGTAGTAGCAGCAGCAGTAATGGTATTGGTTCTACTATTAATTGTAAGCAATGCTGTGGACATAGTATGAGTTGATGACTTTGAATGAATAGATTTAACAGGTGTTTTCTTGGCTGGGCATGATGGATCATGCCTGTAATCCTAGCACTTTGGGAGGTCGAGGTGGGCAAATAACTTGAGATCAGGAATTCAAGACCAGCTTGGCCAACATAGCAAAAAAAAAGTAGCAGGCAGGACGCAGTGTTACCCAGCATTTTAGGAGGCCTAGGTGGGCAGATCACCTGAGGTTCGGAGTTCCAGATCAGCCTGGCCAACGTGATGATACACCCCCTTCCTCTAAAAATATACAAATCAGCCAGGTATCGTGGTGTGTGCCTGTAATCCCAGCTACTTGGGAGGCTGAGGCAGGAGAGTCCTTGAACCCCAGAGGTGGAGGTTGCAGTGAGCCAAGATCATGCCACATGCCACTGCACTCCAGCCTGGGCAACAGAGTGAGACTCCGTCAAAAATAAATAGCTGGGCATGGTGGTGCATGCTTGTAATCCCAGCTACTCAGGAGGCCAAGGCAGAATCATTTGAACCCAGGAGGCAGAGGTTGCAGTGAGCTGAGATCTAGCCACTGCACTCCAGCCTGGGCAACAGAGCGAGACTCCATCTCAAAAAAACAAAAACTAACAGGTATTCTCTCTAGGAAGCTTAGAGCAGAGAGCCCCAGGCCAAGAAAATCCAGAGTCTTTATAGCCAGAAGTTAGGAATTGTGTGAGATTCATTTTCCTAGGGCTACAGATTTAAGCAGAATTAGGTGTGAATTCTAGGCCACAGAGTTCTAAGCAGATCATTCAGAGAAATAGGGCTACAGAAAGGGCATTTCTTGAGTTTTTGATGCAAGGCCAGGTGTCCATCCTTCAGTGTGGGTAGAGGAGACCGGAGGTCCATGAAACCTTTTTTTCTTTGAGATGGAACCTCACTCTGTCACCCAGGCTGGAGTACAGTGACATGACCTCAGCTCACCGCAACCTCAGCCTCCCAGGTTCAAGTGATTCTCCTGCCTCAGCCTCCCAAGCAGCTGCGACTACAGGCACATGCCACCATACCTGGCTAATTTTTTGTATTTTTAGTAGAGACAAGGTTAGCCATGTTAGCCAGGATGGTCTCGATCTCCTGACTTCATAATCCACCCATCTCAGCCTCCCAGAGTGCTGGGATTACAGGCGTGAGCCACCGAGCCTGGCCAGAACTTTCTTTTTTAAGCCAATCCTGAAGCATGCTAGATGCATTGGACTCTTAAAGGTCTAAGAAACTTGGGTTGAAAGATCCTCAGACATCTAGGTTTCCAAGACTTTCCTTATAGGTGTTTATTCCCAGCCTCTTGGTTTCCTGGGCCAGGAGATTGGCTTGTATCTTTAGAATCTCTGTGTGTATTTGAAAGGAGGGAGACATAGTGAGATGATAACCATGATACTAGCAAAAGCAGCTAGTGTTTACTAAGGACCTATTCTATGCTATGGCCTTACATAATTCATAGCAGCCATGCCAGGTAGGAATGATTCTGGGCTTCACTTTACGGATAGAGAAAATAGAGCTCAGTGAAGTGATCACACTTGCCCAAAGTCACATGGCCAGTAAGTGGTAGTTAGGGGACATATGCCATATCTCTGCCTGTTCTTTTCATCACCCACTCCTTTGGGGTCCTAGTTCTGTCTGGTTAGAGCCAGGTCCTTTGCCCATTTCCAAGACCTCACGATTAGCACACCTCTCAGAACTCCTTTATTGTGAGATATTTGTAAATCGTTACCTTGGCTACAGGTGTCAGCTCAGTTGCCCAAGGGTGAGAGCATAGTTGGCCTCAGCCCTAAACATTTGTCTCTTTTCTCAAGTATTGCTATTCTTTATCCCTCTCCTTGTCCTGTCAGCATTATCTCCATCTTCCACCCCGTTTAGCTAACAAGGTTTTATCTTTTTTTTTTTTTTTTTTTTTTTTTAAAGACAGCGTCTCACTTTGTCACCCAGGCTGAAGTGCAATGGCATGATCTCGGCTCACTGCAACTTCCAGCTCCTGGGTTCAAGCGATTCTCCCACCTCAGCCTCCTAGGTAGCTGGAATTACAGGCATCCACCACCATGTCTGGCTAATTTTTGTATTTTTAGTAAAGCCAGGCTTTCACCATGTCAGCCAGGCCGGCCTTGAACACCTGCCTCAGCTTCCCAAAGTGCTGGGATTACAGGCGTGAGCCACCACACCCAGCGCTAACAAGGTTTTTGATGGGGAGAGTCAGACTTGTAACAGTTCCTCCCCAAGCCTTCCTTGATGTGGCCAGCCTGGGGCCATATTCTTAGGGACCTCCCTTCTGGGTTGAAAGGGGAAACCTGACTTATCTCCACAGGGCAGACTCAGGTCCTCACACAGTAGGATTGAAAGGAGAGGTCAAGATGACCATGGCATGGAACAGCCAGGGGATGTTTCCTGGAGGAGGGCAGTAAGTTAGGCCACCTACCAAAGAGAATTTGTGTAGGAGGAAGGAGGTCGTTGCGGCCAAAACCTTGAATCTCGGCAAAGTGTGGAACTTGGATGAATATATACTGTGGAGAGAACCCCAGGGAAGATGGGAGATACCCTGAGCTGAGTCTTCATCTGGAGGAATGGGAGATGGAGAGTGCCCTGGAAATGAAGGTGATGTTAGGCTAGGAGTTCTTGGACTTGAATCTGTTGGTGCTTGCTGATTGCCACTGTAAACTCCTGGTCAGGAACATGACATCCTGTTGTGATTTAGGAAGATAAATGCATCTAGATGTATGGAATGGATTGGAAGGGGAGAATCTAGAAGCAGAGAGAGAACAATAGCAAGCATTTACTATGTCCTAAATGCCAAACCACTTTTCATTCTTTGCTAGCTCATTGAATCTCAGAGCAACACTGTGTATTGGGTACTGTAATTATCGCCAAAATTTTACAGATAATTTAGTGTCAGTGAGGTTCAAAGTGGCTTATTAAGATCCAGCTAATAAGCTTGGGTGTCTAGAGCATCTGATTCCAGAGCCCAAAATTTTAACTACCATATACCACTGCCTTCTCCATTCAGGAAGGAGACTGCTTTTTTTTTTTTTTTTTTTGAGACGGAGTTTCGCTCTCGTTACCCAGGCTGGAGTGCAATGGCGCGATCTCGGCTCACCGCAACCTCCGCCTCCCGGGTTCAGGCAATTCTCCTGCCTCAGCCTCCTGGGTAGCTGGGATTACAGGCACGCGCCACCATGCCCAGCTAATTTTTTGTATTTTTAGTAGAGACGGGGTTTCACCATGTTGACCAGGATGGTCTCGATCTCTTGACCTCGTGATCCACCCGCCTCGGCCTCCCAAAGTGCTGGGATTACAGGCTTGAGCCACCGCGCCCGGCCCGGAGACTGCTTTTTGACAGGTGAAATAGCATAGAGGCCATGAAGAATGGAGTAAAGAGTCATGGAGATAAAGCATGAGAGCAGGTCTGGGGACAGGAGGAGTTCAGATTTCAGAGTAGCAAGATTGGCTTATTGGAAGGCACTGCAGGTTATTGAGATCAGGAGTTATAGAACCAAGAAAAATTACACTGGGTGCAGTGCCGTATGCTTGTAGTACTAGGTGCTTGGGAGGCTGACGCAAGAGAATTGCCTGAGTCCAGGAGTGCTGGGCTGTGATGTGCTATGCTGATTGGGTGTCTGCACTAAGTGTGGCACCAATATGGTGACCTCCCAGGAGCGAGGGACCACCAGGTTTCCTAAGGAGGGGTGAACTGGCCCAGTTTGAAAATGGAACAGGTCAAAATTCCCATGCTGATCAATAGTGGAATTGCACTTGTGAATAGCCATTGCACTGCGGACTGGGCAACATAGCGAGACCCTGTCTCTTTAAAAAAAAATAGGAAAAAGGCCGGGCGCGGTGGCTCAAGCCTGTAATCCCAGCACTGTGGGAGGCCGAGGCGGGTGGATCACGAGGTCAAGAGATCGAGACCATCCTGGTCAACATGGTGAAACCCCGTCTCTACTAAAAATACAAAAAATTAGCTGGGCATGGTGGTGCGTGCCTGTAATCCCAGCGACTCAGGAGGCTGAGGCAGGAGAATTGCCTGAACCCAGGAGGCGGAGGTTGCGGTGAGCCGAGATCGCGCCATTGCACTCCAGCCTGGGTAACAAGAGCGAAACTCCGTCTCAAAAAAAAATAAAAATTAAAATTAAAAAAAATAAGAAAAAAATGCTAGATGCAGGGTCAATGTGTTTGATCTCACCTATATGAGGGATAAGGTTGGGAGTGAATGGAAAGGAGATTGTTATGAAAGTAGATTGGAGCTGAGGGAATATGGGGGAATAGGCCATAGGCAGTGCTCTCAGGTGAATATGAGTACCCCACCCTGGCTTTCCTGACATTTCTTCTTATCCCTTCTGTAGCCATCGTCAGCCAGTGGCAGCAGGAGTCCAAAGAGAAGGTGGTATCCCTCCTGCTGACCCACCTTCCCCTGCTTCAGCCAGGCAACACAGAGGCCAAGTCAGAGTACATGAGGCTACTGCAGAAAGTGCTGGCCTACTCAATCGAGAGCAATGCCTTCATCGAGGAGAGCCGCCAGCTGCTTTCCTATGCCCTCATCCACCCAGCCACCACACTGGAGGACCGCAACGCACTGGCCCTCTGGCTGAGCCACCTGGAAGAACGGCTGGCTAGTGGCTTCCGCTCCCGGCCAGAGCCCTCCTACCATTCGCGCCAAGGCTCAGATGAGTGGGGGGGCCCTGCAGAGCTGGGCCCTGGGGAGGCAGGGCCAGGCTGGCAGGACAAGCCACCCCGGGAAAATGGACACGTGCCCTTCCACCCGTCCAGCTCAGTGCCGCCAGCCATCAACAGTATTGGGAGCAACACAAACACAGGTAAGTGGGTGCGGTGTCCCAGAAGGCCATGTCTACTTGAAAAAGGTTGGACTGGTGAGAGCTCCCTCACTCTGTGGCGTTAAGACAAGTCACATAAGCTCTAGGCCTCAGCTTTATGAGGCAATGCAGAGCTGTGAACTGGCTTTCCCAAAGGTGAATCTGACCTACAGACATGTCTTATTGAACCCATACTTTGGTTTGGTTTTGTCGTGTTGGGTTTTTAAATAAATGTGAGTGCTTCCCTAGAAATGAGATTTCCAGCCTTGAGAAGTCAAAAGATCTAGCAACTCAGCACGACCTGTTTTCCCAGTGGCAACGATAATATAGAGCTTAATGTTGAGCATGCCCTTTAGACTCTGCACAAGCACCCCAGTCTGCCTCTGCTCCCACCAACCCCCCTTTGGGCATTTCTGACATATACCTGGCCTCTAAGGACATTAGGCTATGATACTTGATGGAAGTGTGGATCCTGTCATCTGAGGTCCCTTCCAGTTCAGTCATTATGGATTTTTGTATCTAGCCTCAATTTACAGCTTTGTTTCTGAGAGCACTGTCTGTATAAGACAAAACTCGTGCTGCAAGGTATTTATAATAGTAGGTAACATTTTTCAGCATTGACTATGCTAGGTACTCTTTTATAGACACTTTGTAGATACGATCTCAAGCAGCATCACAACCATATCATTAGCCCTATTCAACAGATGAGGACACTGGGACTCATAGGTGAAGTCATGTGTTCAAGGTTATATGTAGAACAAGTGGTGGAACAGACACAACCAGTCTGATGCCAGAGCCTGCCTCTGACCACTACACTGTCCTGCCAACTAAGCAGGTTTGAAAGAGCTCTCTTAGTGAAAGCCCTACAGGCTAGGGTGAGAAGGAAGAATTGGTATCCCAGTGACTTTATGAAATGTTAGTTGAAATATGCAGGATAAGGAAGGGTGGCTTTTCCAAGCCATGGTAAGGCGGCATGACCTGACTCAGGGTGAGGGGGTGGTTGATGATTTAACCTCAGAGTGGCTAGTCCCCTTCAGCAGGCACTGGTATAAAGCAAGACAGGAGAGAGTGGCAGTGAAATGTCACGTGTGCCAGCGGGTGGGGGTAACCTCACATCCCAAATGCCCTGCTGTCTGGTACCTGGTGCTCATCAGTTAGCCCTTGAGCCAATTTTTCCCCCAGTTAATGTGGATATTCTAATGCACCTGCCTCCCTCCCAGTTGCTGGTGAGAACCTGAGAAGATAAAGGGATAGAAGGGCAGTTTCAGGAAACAGTAACCTGAGGTGCCTTGGACCTCATTTTCCAGTCATGGAGCATCACAGTTCCAGGATGGGAGGATGTATTAATAATGATCATTCTAGCCGAAAAATATTGAGTGCAAGGCCTGTAATCCCAGCACTTTGGGAGGCCGAGGCGAGTGGATCATTTGAGGTCAGGAGTTGAAGACCAGCCTGGGAAACATGGTGAAATCCTGTCTCTACTAAAAATACAAAAATTAGGCCGGGCATGGTGGCTCACACCTGTATTCCCAGCACTTGGGAGGCTGAGGTGGGCAGATCATGAGGTCAGGAGATTGAGACCATTCTGGCCAACATGGTGAAACACCGTCTCTACTAAAAATACAAAAATTAGCTGGGCTTGGTGGTACGTACCTGTAGCTGCAGCTACTTGGGAGGCTGAGGCAGGAGAATCACTTGAACCAGGTGGTGGAGGTTGTAGTAAGCCAAGATCGTGCCACTGCACTCTAGCCTGGTGACAGAGCAAGACTTCATCTCAAAAAAAAGAAAAAAACTGTTAAGTGTTCAGTCTTTACGAGGAGCTATTCTAAGAGCTTTATACATATAAACTTACTGGCTAAGTCTCACCTGGCCAAGGTGGTATAGCCAGGATTTAAAGCCAAGCAGTCTTGCTGCAGAGCTCATACTCTGAACTACTATGCTACACTACCTCCACCAAAAAGTACCCCTCCTGGAGATGCTCAGCCCTCACCAAGGGGAGGTATAACCCATGCAGGGTGCCTATAAATTTCTTTCTTCTGATACCTTCTGTGCTCCTCATCATGGGGACCCTAGCAGCTATTAAAGGACCAAGATTCAACAATGTTGATAGGGGTTTGGACCAAAAGAGCAAAAGGAATTGGACATTCCAAGTAGAAAGCACAGCATGAAATAAGCACAGGGATGGAAAATTAGAGGGGACAGTGTACAGACAGGTCTGGCTGGAATGGATTTGAATAATAGCAGTAGCAGAGACTTGTGCTTACCATGTGCCTATCCCTCAGCAAAGGACTTCATGTGGCAATGGAGGCAGAGAGGCAAATGAAGTGACTTGCCCAAGATCACATACAGGCAACAGAGTCAGAGTCAGGATTTGAACTCAGGTCTGTCTTTACCCTTAGACCTCAGTGTGTGAAGGCCACATTCTGGGAGGCCATGAAGGACAGGAGAAGTTTTTGGATTCCAGGCAGTTGCAGGAAACAGGAAATCATTAAAATATTTTTGAGTGGGGAGCAAGGATTGGCCTTTGAGGGCAGCCAGCGTGGGTTTGGGGTGCTGCCAAGGACAGATCAAGATTTCTTGGAGAGTGAAAGGCCCTGGATCTCCAGCCGGCATTCTTGTTTTTGTCATTCTCATTCTGTGGCCAGCCTCCACCCCAGTGTGGAGCCAAGCAGGGCTCCTCAGGAACTGCACGATCATTCCAGTCAGGGTAATTTCCTTCCCTCTCAGCCTCGCCTGCCCTCTTCTTGGCTGAGAAGGTAGGAAGAAGGAGGCCAGAAACACCAAAACAGGCCAAAAGGCCTGTCTTGAGGATTCCCCAGCCCCCCAGGGCCCAGAGTGTGCCATGTTCCCTCAAGAGTCCTGAATGGGGACAGAAGCCCAGGCTGAGGGAGTCTAGAGGCTGAAGAAGCCCTGGGAAGAGGACCTCCGACACTCTAGGGTAGAGCAGAAGCTGGTATTAGGGGTGGACCACTGCCTTGCCTTCTCCCTTAGATGATTTCCTAGCAAGGAGCATCAGTATTGTCATAGCTGAGGGACGATGCTCTAGGGCCTGCATCAGGCTAGCCCTCCTTCCTGGGCTGGATGTCAGTAGAGCACTGGCAGGAACCCCAGCCTTTCCATCAGAAACAAGGCTTGGGTTCTGTCTCAGCCTGTCAACTCCCCGTGGGAACTGGGGCAAAGGGCTTCAGCTCCACAGGCCTTGATGTTCTCACCTACCCAGGGTGAGGCTTTTTGGCTTTTTTTTATTTCTTTTTGTCTAGGCTGACTTGGGGTACTTTTGGATGAGATCAGTGGAGCTCAGAGGCCCTCTTAGCACCCCTTTGTCTTTTATGAAACTTCATTGGAAGGACTTCTGTGTGTCATGCTCTGTGCCTGATCATGGAGTTGTAGAAGTAATTGGGCTGAGCTGCCATCCTCCATGAGCCCACAGTCCAGTGCGAGAGGGAGGATAGTGAGAAGGGCAGCAAGCACTGTGCCTGGGGCAGCAGCAGAGGGGTATGTAGCAAGGCACAAAGGGAGAAGTGGCTGATGGAGAAGGGTTGGAGAGGTGAGCTAGGCAGAGGGAAAAGCACAGATAAAAGGTCTGGAAGCTCATGGGAGCCTGCCCTGTCTTGAGAGTGCTTAAAAATCAAGTTGGAGGCCAGGTGTGGTGGCTCACGCCTGTAATCCCAGCACTTTGGGAGGCTGAGACGGGTGGATCACCTGAGGTCAGGAGATCAAGATCAGCCTGGCTAACATGGTGAAACTCCATCTCTACTAAAAATTCAAAAATTAGCCAGCATGGTGGCGGGCACCTGTAGTCCCAGCTACTTAGAGGCTGAGGCAGGGAGAATTGCCTGAACCTGGGAGGCAGAGGTTGCAGTGAGCCAAGATCACACCACTACACTCCAGCCTAGGTGACAGAGCGAAACTCCATCTCAAAAAAAAAAAAAATCAAGTTGGATTCGTCGGCCGGGCGTGGTGGCTCACGCCTGTCATCCAAGCACTTTGGAGGCCAAAGCGAGCAGATCACCTGAGGTCGGGAGTTCAAGATCAGCCTAACCAACATGGTGAAACCCCTCTTTAAAAAAAAAAAAAAAAAAGTTGGATTCGTTTGTCAGACATGGGATGGACAGAGGGTGTGGAGCATCCTGCAGAAGAGGGTCTGGGATCACCCTGAGCCACCAGGCCCCATGGGTGGTGAGTTTGGGCTCATTGCAGAAAAAAATGGAGATTGTGAGGCTCCATAACGAGGTTGTTGAGGAAGCAGCTTACATACTTCATTCATTACAATATATAATGTTTAAGATGGGACAGGTTCCTGCTATCACAAGTCTTCTGTTCTAGCAGGGGGCACAGTTAATAAGTAAACAAGGCCAGGCACAGTGGCTCACGTCTGTAATCCCAGCACTTTGGGAGGCCAAGGCGGGCGGATCACAAGGTCAAGAGCTGGAGACCATCCTGGCCAACATGGTGAAACCCTGTCTTTACTAAAAATACAAAGATGGGTGTGGTGGTGCACGCCTGTAATTCCAGCTACTCAGGAGGCTGAGGCAGGAGAATCACTTGAACCCGGGAGGCAGAGGTTGCAGTGAGCCAAGATAGTGCCACTGCACTCCAGCCCTGCGACAGAGCAAGACTCCATCCCGGGCCGGGCGCGGTGGCTCAAGCCTGTAATCCCAGCACTTTGGGAGGCCGAGGCGGGTGGATCACGAGGTCAAGAGATCGAGACCATCCTGGTCAACATGGTGAAACCCCGTCTCTACTAAAAATACAAAAAATTAGCTGGGCATGGTGGCGCATGCCTGTAATCCCAGCTGCTGGGGAGGCTGAGGCAGGAGAATTGCCTGAACCCAGGAAGCGGAGGTTGCGGTGAGCCGAGATCGTGCCATTGCACTCCAGCCTGGGTAACAAGAGCGAAACTCCGTCTCAAAAAAAAAAAAGACTCCATCTCAATAAATAAATAAATAAATAACTTGATAATTTCAGGTTGTGATAGGTGCTATAAGAAAGACAAGAGAGTAATGTGTTAGAGTAACTGGGGTTGGGGCAGCAGAGTGGGGCATGACTTCAGATTAAGGGTTTAGAGTAGGCCTCAGAGGTGACACTCGAGATGAGGCTTGAGGGAGCTAGCCACTAAGATCAGGAAGGTAAGAAGCAAGTCCAGAAGTCCTAAGACTGGAACAAGCTTGAGTGTTTCAGGAACAAAGGGACATGTGGGAGGAGGCCAAGGACAGGCATGAACCAAGTGGTGGGTTATGGGAGAAGAGAGTTAGAGAGGAGCAGGGGCCAGGTCCTGCATGGCCTTTTAGGCATGTGGAAGCATTTGAATTTTGTTTCCACTATGAAAGGAAGTCACATGGATTTGAGCAGGAGTCCAGCTTGGTCAGATTTTCATTTTTAGAAGGATCTTTATGGCCATGGTGAGGGGCGTGGACTGCAGGAGGCAAGAGTGAAGGCAGGAAACCAGTGAGGAGGGTATGGTATTAATTCCCTCCAGGGGTGCTGGTGGCTTGAGCCAGTGGAACTGGAGAAGTTCAGGGAAATGGCTGACAGCTTGCTGATGGGTTGGGTGTTGGGGGTGAGGGAATGAGGTATATCTGGTAGATGGTTCCCCTTAGACCCCAGGTCCCTTGCTTTGGCACATTACAGGGCCAAATTGCCATCCTGGCACTGACGGCAGGGAGATGGTCTCCTGTGGTTAGATCCCCAAGCCTAATCTTCTGCTTTTCTCCCGCTCTGGCCAGGTCTCCCCTGCCAAATCCACCCTAGCCCGCTGAAGCGCTCCATGTCACTCATCCCTACAAGCCCCCAGGCCCCTGGTGAGTGGCCAAGTCCAGAGGAGCTTGGGGCCCGGGCTGCTTTTACCACGCCCGATCACGCACCCCTGTCACCCCAGAGCAGCGTGGCCTCCTCTGGCAGTGAGCAGACAGAGGAGCAGGGCTCCAGCCGGAACACTTTCCAGGAGGATGGAAGTGGCATGAAAGGTACATTGGGGACAGTAGCACCAGGACCCATTTCTCCATTTCTAGGGGCTTCTGCAGAGTTTAGAGGGCAGAAAGGAGCTTATAGCTGACACCAGCCTACCCCTCTGAGGAGGGGACGTATCTGAGGGGAATAGATAGTCCCTGCTCTTAGGGCTCAAGACTAAGCAGAGAGACCCCACATCTACCCTAACAGGTCTGGTCTGACTGGGGAGGAGCCCCCTGTCTTCACACACCCCAGTCTGACAAGGAAGCCAGGACACAGGTAACTGACGGAACAGAGGTTCCTGGAAGAGTTTTGAAGTAATCAGTGAGGTCATCCTAGTACACATCCAGTGAGCAGCTCAGAAGGGTCAGATATCCTCCCCAGGGAAGGCTGCCTGAGAGGGTCTGGCCAGGCAGATAAAGAAGGAGCTGATGGAACCTTAGCTCCTCCCAACCCCCTTACAATTTTTTGCATTTTTGTGGCTTCCTGTGGGTTTATCCCCACAACCCTTCCTTTACCTTGGTCATCAGGGCCAAACTCCTGACCTTTCACCCTCCCTCCTTTTCCAAAGATGTGCCCTCATGGCTCAAGAGCCTCCGCTTGCACAAGTATGCAGCCCTCTTCTCACAGATGAGCTACGAGGAGATGATGACACTGACTGAGCAGCACCTGGAGTCTCAGGTGAAGGCAAGGGGACCATCAGGGAGGTTCTGGGGGTAGCACTAGTTTGGCATCCTTACAGCCCAAGCCCCCTTTGTCTCCTTGATCTCTATTTGGGCACCCCCAAGTATCTCAGCCTCCCATCTCCAGCTTCTTGTCACCTTCTTCCCTTATCACAGAACGTCACCAAAGGTGCCCGCCACAAGATAGCCCTGAGCATCCAGAAACTACGTGAGAGACAGAGTGTCCTCAAGTCCCTAGAGAAGGTGAGGATCTGGTATCTGCATCTTCAAGGCCACCCAGCCACCTAGTGGTATCAGTACACCAAAGGCCCTGAGTTGGCCTCCCAACTCCTCAGGTCTGACCTCAGTAGCGCCAGTCCTAGGGAGCTTGACTCCAGGGACCACATATAAGCCAGCATCAAAGGGCTCACTTGCTGGTGGCTAAGAGGCTCCCCTCCCTGTCTGTCCTGGTTTGTGGTTCCAGAATCTCTGTCTTTTGACTCTATACCTTCCCTCTCTTTTTTCTTTTCCATTTTTTTTTTTTTTTTTTTTTTT